GTGTGTGTGTGTGTGTGTGTGTGTGCGTGTGTGTGTCTGTACAATAGTTGCATTGACAGTTAACATACAACATATTAGAGCTGTGTAGCAACAAACAGAGCTGCAAAATGCACATAATTATATACAGTATGAGAAACAGCCAAAAATTTACATTCGCCCTGTTGACTAGTCTTTGCTGCTTTGATCGCACCGCCGGTATCTAGTATTTTTATCCCACGTTTTTGTTGCGTTCCAGAAGCTATCAAACGCGTAGAACTCTCAGTTGTAACAGTTATAAATTTAAATGTATTTTCTACTTGGTTCAGGCATAATCTACAAATATACGCACAGTTTATCATCGCTACTTCGAATAAGCCGTTTTCCTCTCCAAATAATTTAATATATTTGCTCTGTAGTGACAGCGACGTGCATATTTTGCGATATTTTGCCTGTAATTGGGAAACTTTTTGCTGGTGACAAGTCTAAACAGCAAAAACACTTGAAATTTTGCGGTTTTACAGGAGTGTCTAGATCAGGAGTTGTCATACTGCCTACTGTACTGGCACTACTGCTAAGTTTGTTATTGTTTACATCGTCTGCTTTGCATGATTCATCTAGCCGCAGTGCTGCCACCATTCGGGGCACAACGGAAAAGGCCGAAAAGTTCCGAATGGTCCGCGGAGTGATACACAACGCTGTCATGGAGGCGTACTTTATCAGAGATTAGATTGCGCCGCCCATAGATATCATATAACAACAGTTGTTATATGATATCAGGAGCAGATAATAGGGAAGGAGTGTGACTTTAATAAACAAGGGAAATTCGTCATTTACTAGCCTTAGAATACCTACGATTTACTACGCGTAACTCAATCAACTTGAGCTCAAATCGTACACAGTACATTCGCCTAGCATCGTGCGAAATCGTTTCCTTTTATATACACCAGCAATACGGAGATACAGACTAAAACGTACGACACGATTATCCATTCTTTGGCCATCTATCCAAACGTATTGTTCGCCGAACTTGAAACAAAAGACAGTTACTAACGCACTCTTGCTCACTCGGCGAGGCGGTGTGGCTCGCTGAGAGATTGGACATCAACGCAACATACCGGCATACCGGAATACAGCTGGTATACCCCCACGCACGCCCACCGCAATCAGCAGCAGCTCGATCTCCAATCTCCCAGCGAGCCACACCGTCTCGTCGAGGGAGCAAGAGCGCGTTAGTAGCTGCCTTTTGTTTCAATTTAGGCGGACAATACGTTCGGATTGATGGCAAAAGAATGGATAATCGTACCATACGTTTTAGTCTGTATCTCGATTCGCACGATGCTAGGCGAATGTACTGTGTACGATTTGAGCTCAAGTTGGTTGAGTTACGCGTAGTAAATCGTAGGCATTCTAAGGCTAGTAAATGACGTATTTCCCTTGTTTATTGAAGTCACACTCCTTCCCTATTATTTACTCCTGATGATATCTATGGCGCCGCCACAACAAACAAGAGAGCAATTTTCATCTCTGTGATGAGATTGTCCTGTACCGTAGTATTTGGACGCTCCGTAGGCATGCTCTTTTGTTTTGCTCTTGTTTTCTTTTTGTTTGAATCTTGTTTTGCACGGCCGTAAAAAATAGTAGCCATGCTCTTTTTTTTTTTTGTTTCGCCTTGTAACCTGACACACATAACACAGTCTTACTAATTTACTACATATTGCAAATTGTTTCAATCAAATGTTTCCATCAGTCACCGAGAAGTCCGCAATGTTTGTTTATTGCGATTTCGGTTGCCGTTTTGATGGGCAAGATGCGCAGATGATTACTGTGCATGCTGCGCATGCGCTGTGTGCACCCTTGCGAAACAAGAGGCGCCTGCGCGCATGCGCACTTAGGAGTGTCCAAATACTACGGCAAACTCCACGACAGATGGCGCTCTCGCTCATGGGGCTTAATCTACCTGAATCAATAGCCGTGTTCACACGGTCATGATTTGGCTCGAGCCAAATGGGCTAGATTTGGCTCGGGCCAAATTTGGCTCGGGCCTAATTGAGTCGGAGCGTTCACACGTACGCAAGTAGGGGGGAGGTAAATACTGTCTGTCAAATTCAAATTCAAATTCAAATAAATTTTATTGCACAAATATCTACATCGTCTGCTTTGCATGATTCATCTAGCCGCAGTGCCGCCACCATTCGGGGCACAACGGAAAAGGCTGAAAAGTTCCCAATGGTCCGCGGAGTGATACACAACGCTGTCATGGAGGCGTACTTTATCAGAGATTAGATTGCGCCGCCCATAAATATCATATAACAACAGTTGTTATATGATATCATCATATCAGGGGTAGATAATAGGGAAGGA